GGCATGCCCCTGATCATCTTGCCCCCTACCCAAGTACCAAAATAAATAAATAAATAACATGTGGCTTTTAAAAGACGATGTCGGTGGTGGCTTTCAGTCCTGAGTCACAGCCGAGTCTTTAACAACAGCAGACCTCGAACAGCCCCGTCCAGGGTCAGGTGCAACCCTCCCAAGATGGCATGAGCAGCCCGGATGCTTCCCCAGGCTGAGGTAGGAGGGCCCAAGGGGACGGAGGGTTGGTCTGGGGTTGCCTGAGGCAAAGCCAGGCGAGATGTCTGTTGGAGAAAGAAGCAAGGTTAGCAAAAGGCCAGGGGGTTTTGGTTTAGGATCTCTTTAGGGTCTGAGGTCAGAGAACTGGAGTTGGGTTGGTACGGTAGTTCACACCTGTAATCCCAGCACTCCAGAGGTAAAAGTACCATGGGTCAAGGCTACGTAGGGAAGGCAGTAAGGGCTACATGAAACGATGATCACAAAGCAAAACAAAACAAAAACCTTTGCAGCTGTGGAGAAGGCAGAAGGCATCGCCAAAAAAGTGCTAGCTTGAGGACCTGAGTGCAGATCTCTGGGACATATGAAAAAAAAAGAAAAAAAAAAGCTGGGCACAGCCATGTGTGCCAGTCATCCCATTGCTGGGGAAGTAGAGAGAGGAGGATTCTGGGAACTTGCTGGTCATCCAGTTTAACTGAATTGGTGAGCTCCAGACTGAGTGAGAAACATTGTCTCAAAAAGCAAGGCAGAGTGGGGCAGTGGTGGCGCACGCCTTTAGTCCCAGCACTTGGGAAGCAGAGGCAGGTGGATCTCTGTGAGTTCGAGGCCAGCCTGGTCTACAGAGTGAGTTCCAGGACAGCCAGTGCTACACAGAGAAACCCCAGTCTCAAAAAAGAAAAAAAGGGGCTGGAGAGATGGCTCAGAGGTTAAGAGCACCGACTGCTCTTCCAGAGGTCCTGAGTTCAATTCCCAGCAACCATGTGGCGGCTCACAACCATCTGTAATGAGATCTGGTGCCCTCTTCTGGCGTGCAGATAGACATGGAAGCAGAATGTTGTATACATAATAAATAAATGAAATCTTTAAAAAAAGAAAATTAAAAAAAGCAAGGCAGAGAATAGTATCAATGGAGGAAGATGACCAATTTGACTTCTGACCTCCACGTTTACACACACACACACACACACACACCAAGGTTACTGTCCTACAGGCCAAGTCAGGGGCTAGGGAATGAGGGCTGTGGCCTGCTGTTTGCCAGATCTTCTCAAGGGTGATCAGGGCTGGAGTCTTAGAGTCTGGGGTCTAGGGACCATGTCTAGGACCTGGGGTTAAAGGAAAGAATTTGAGATCTAAGAGTCCTTGTAGTCAGGGACTAATGTGTGAAAAGAAGGCTTTTAGAGTACTAAGCCTGAGGTTTTAAATTTTGGAGTCTTGATATTTTTTTAACCTCATAATATTGGAAATGAGACATAGGACTGGGGAATTTGTTGATTTTGAGACAAGATCTCACATAGCCCAAACTGTCCTCAAACTCACTACACGGCTGAGGATGGCCTAGAACTCTCCACCCTTCTGTTGCCATCTCATCTCCCAAATACAATCAGGTTCCGTCCATACCCAGATTTGGTTTTTTGAGACAGGATTTTGCTATGGAGCCATAGCCAGCTTGGAATTCACTAAGTAGACCAGGTTGGCTTGAAACTTGTAATAGTCTCCTACGTCTGCCTCTTTTTTTTTAAGATTTTATTTATTATGTATACGACATTCTGCCTGCACGCCAGAAGAGGGCACCAGATCTCATTACAGATGGTTGTAAGCCACCATGTGGTTGCTGGGAATTGAACTCAGGACCTCTGGAAGAGCAGTCAGGGCTCTTAACCTAGGAGTCATCTCTCCAGCCCCTATGTCTGCCTCTTGAGTGCTGAGACAATAGGCAACTGAAACTAT